TTTTTACCCACAAACTTGGTGAGCCAAAAAAAACATGGTATATCCTGATGGGGTAGGGGCGGTTGACATTTTTGACATTTCTCTATCTGAAAATTGAAAACGCAAGAATAATTGTGATTCTCTAATTCCTGGCACTCCAAGTTGGCAAGAAGGATATCTGCTACGCTTTCAATTCCGAAAACGCCGTTCTACTCTTGATTATTATCTGAGTTGAGATTATCTTATTGACAGCCTCAACCTAACGATTTGAGGAACCGATATTTTAGCTAATATCTGATGCAATATCTGATCGGTAACACTATTTACGAATCTGAAATCAGTATGCTAAGTTCTCTTGATCATACTGCGTTCTGATTTAGTTGACAATTACTATTGTAAATTTACTATTGTTTGCAGCAAAATGAAGATCACTTTGAACATTTGACGGAACAACAGAGCATCAGGTATAAGAACTTCCACTTTAAAAAATAAGTAATAATAATAAAAAAATTGCTCAATTTTTCAGATTTCAGATTCGTAAATAGTGTTACCGATCAGATATTGCATCAGATATTAGCTAAAATATCGGTTCCTCAAATCGTTAGGTTGAGGCTGTCAATAAGATAATCTCAACTCAGATAATAATCAAGAGTAGAACGGCGTTTTCGGAATTGAAAGCGTAGCAGATATCCTTCTTGCCAACTTGGAGTGCCAGGAATTAGAGAATCACAATTATTCTTGCGTTTTCAATTTTCAGATAGAGAAATGTCAAAAATGTCAACCGCCCCTACCCCATCAGGATATACCATGTTTTTTTTGGCTCACCAAGTTTGTGGGTAAAAATTGCTTAATTTCTCTTTTCTTCTTTTTTGAGGATGAGGACCTTGAACATTACTAGAGCATCCCAAAGGAGGAGCGTTTTTTCACATCGGCTTCATTTTTTGACAGCACACTTAATCCTGTGCATGTGATGTCGCATACTCCAACGATTGAAGGGGTCCCGCTTGCCAACTTTCAAGTCAGCAAATTATTGCTCTTACTTGGCCAAATAAAGGAAAAAAAGTTGATACCATTGATTTCCTTAAACTAGAGGGTATTTGAAAGATACCTGTTTCTGGAATTTTCATTATTCGCGTTTCCTCAAATATGCCGCCATGTTGAATTTTCCGAAATTTTATTTTGAAACAATTCCATCCAAACTTGTGACAACGTCAGTTGGTTTTCCTTGCCTTAAAGGGCACTTTTCAAACTTTTCATTCCAGGTCTGTTTTTGTTTTTTCGGTAATTGGGAGCTCAACGGTGATTTTTTGAAAAGTGGTCAATTTAAAATTTTGACCGGCTGTAACTTTTGAACGAGTGAACCGATTTTAATTTTATTTGTGTCATTTTCCTTGTCTTTTTAAGTTCTTTTTAACCATGTCTAAAAAAATGGGGGTTGCTATTTGAATTTTGAAAGTTGCCCCCCCTTGGGGCCCCCCAGGGGGGTCCACCAAGAAAAACCCCCCATCGAAAAATTTCCCCCTCTGGATGATGAAGAATGCCACAAACCGCGACCTTCTATCTTTTTTTGTTCAAAAATTATACCCACTTTTCAGTTACTTTACGGACACCCGGTATGTATGCATATATATGAACTTATTTCGATTATATGAACCTAGTTTCGAAAAGATATTGATATGAATACATTTAATGGCATGTAAAATAGGGGAAATTTTAAATTGAAGTAGCTCAGTGTTGCCAAATTTCTAAACAACTTCCATTTTCGCAAGGCTCAAGAACCAAACAAGAGGCAGAAAACCGCAGATAATGATAAAATTCTCACAAATAATCATGATTTCTGTCCAAACGGGGGGCTACGGGCATCTGAATTTTTAATTTTTTGAAAGTGCACGTACCATTGAATATGTCCACATTGAAATATTTCCAATAGTTGTCAACAGTTTTTTTTGCCACTTCATGAAACTTCAAATGAACGTAAAAACGAGCCTTGCGGAAATAGAAGTTTTCATGAAATTTGGCAACACTGAGCTACTTCAATTTAAAATTTCCCCTATTTTCCATGTCATTAAATGTATTCATATCAATATCTTTTCGAAACTAGGTTCATATAATCGAAATAAGTTCATATATATGCATACATATACGTGGATACAAATATTAAAGAAATGTGCTATTTCTTAGAGCAAGCTGACATCATGTAATACTTAAAAATGAATTTTACTATTTTTTTCACTTCATTTTAAGTGTTATCTACTTGTGTCTGTGCAAAATGTCTCGAAAATTTGAGGTTAAATTGTGAACTCTGAATCACAGTCAAATAAAAGCCCAATAACATCTGAAAAATGACCAAATTTTCATAGAAAATCATGATGTACGTCCCAACAGGCAACATCGGGCAGATGAACCGTTGATTTTCTGAAAGTTCACATACCACTGAATATAACCACGTGCACAAAAGTTCAAGTACTGTCAGTACTTTTCTTTGCCACTCCATGAAAGTGGAAAAAAGGGTTAAAAGTGAGCAGTATTTCGAAATGCAATATTCGCCATAAAACAAAACGGATATAAAATTTTGAAAAACCAAAAATAAATAGTGCTTACCAGTAGGAATGAAGCTGCTAGAAAGGATAGAATGGCACTGAAGCCTGTTGATTAGAATGCTCCTCATTGTTGTCATCTGCAATCGGCTTCTAATTAGGAGCTCAGAACTGGCTGATAATGACCACCTGTGCGGGCACTAGGTATCAATAAAAATCGATACTATCGCTGAAAATAGTGTTGCCAGATATACCACTTAACGTTCACCACATAATTTTTGGAAAATTTTGACTTTCATTTTTCGGGGGGTGTTTTGTCACCATTCAATGCACTGTGCGTCCCTTGCCCAGAGAAAAAAAATCGGAAAGTAAATTGTTTTACCTGAATCATGGCAACGGTTGTGAATTAAATCTGATGAAAGAACCCCGCTTCATCCTTCTGGGAAATCCCCCAGTAAAACCTTATGAAACTTTGATATATTGCTCAGCTAGTCATTCTGATCAAAAGCTCTCATGGGCCCAAAGAGATCCCACGTGCGCTTTTCGAGATATTCGCCGTTTTATATGCGTGAGCGGAGGTTCCGCCGGTGGGACCATTGTGCGGGCACCTGCCCTTCCAGTCCATTCGAGCCCCTCTCCGCTTCTCCGCCACCCATACTGGAGGCTCGGACTCCGACGCTCACAGGGCTTCGCTCATCGGCACCGGCCCGGGTGATCTTATCTGATTGTGAGTTGTGATAAGACTACACGGGCCGGTGCCGATGAGGGAAGCCTCGTGAGCGGAGTCCGAGCCTCGGGTGTGGGTGGCGGAGAAGTGGAGAGGGGCCGGAGTGGACTGGAAAGGAAGGGTACGAGTATTGCCGCACAATGGTCCGGCCGGTGGGACCTTCGTTCACGCATATAAAACGACGGATATCTCGAAAACCGCACAGGAGATCTCTCTAGGCCCGTGAAAGCTTGACTTGACAAAGCTTGAGTTAGAATGACTAGCTGAGCAACATATCGAGTTCTATGATCTGACACTTTCTTTCATTACGGATCCGATCTCTCCCAGAAATTCACAACAGAGAATGGCGACCTACTTCAGAAATCTATCTTCGTTGCTCCCTGCATATCCTGTGTCCGTTTCTTCAGCTGCCAAACTTCACATCGGTACGTTAAAATACTTTCAACTATAGTCTGTTCGAGATGGGAAGAACCGTGGAAAGTCGGAATAATTAGCACTATTTTGCAGGGTGGGGGTGTCTCGACCCTCGTCAACTGTCACTTTTCGATGTTTCACGCACGCCGCAGCCACCGCACAGGAGGCTATGGGTCTCGGAGCGGCGGTTTTCCCCGGGATATGAACCTGGAGCCGCAAATTCCTGTGCTAGGCGCCGAGCGGCAAGCGACTCATGAGGAGCCAGCCCTCTTAGTCCAGGCGCCTGGTAGCTAAAAATGAGGCTACCTGGAATTTTGGGTACACAGCGATTTTTTTGGCTTACTTTATGTTTTTTGGGTCGCTGAATCCGAATCTGAAGTTTCCGCACGCGTATCTGGTGAGCATTTTCCGCTATTTTGAAAAAATGGCCTAAAAAGGCCTTTTTTTGCGGTTTTTTTGATATAGCGGCTACGGATGAGGAAAAGTCCCGGATTTAGCTAATGTTTTGAATAGCTGACAAAATTTGGAAGAAAATGGTATATGAATATGCTAGGTTTGCTCAAAAATTGAGGAACCTCGGATTTCGGAACTTTAGAACGCTTCGGAACTTGGCTGACCGCGGCGAGCCGGATCGCGCGTTGACGGGTGCGCCGCGAAAACGTGAATAGGCGCGATGTTCACGATGCTGTATCTTCCTCAATTTTTAAGCAAACCTAACATATGTATACACCATTTTCTTCCAAATTATGTCAGCTATTCAAAACATTAGCTAAATCCGGGACTTTTCCTCATCCGTAGCCGCTATATCAAAAAAACCGCAAAAAAAGGCCTTTTTAGGCCATTTTTTCAAAATAGCGGAAAATGCTCACCAGATACGCGTGCGGAAACTTCAGATTCGGATTCAGCGACCCAAAAAACATAAAGTAAGCCAAAAAAATCCCTGTGTACCCAAAATTCCAGGTAGACTTACCAGGCGCCTGGACTATCTGTGCGGTGCGCCTCAACACGAGGGTTGGTTCAGTGTCTTCATCTTACAATAGCTCGAACGTTACCCTTGCTTCTACATAGTGCAATTAATTCCGACTTTCCACGGTTCTTCCCATCTCGATTAGACTATACAGTGTTGTACATCCTCTTCTTGTTAAGAATTTCGAAAGATAACAAGAGAAGGAGCTCCTCCAACTCAATTTTTTAATATTGTAGTTCGAAAATAGCTTGCTTGCCTCGTTGTTCATAATTCAGTCATTTTACTCATGTATCTTTTGAGAATATATAAATTCCCTGCGAGTTTGAAGTATATCTATTTTTAATATTTAGTAATGCTGATATTTTTGTCTTTTCAGACCTTGTTACGAATCACCTCCTCCTTTACCTCCTAAAAAACGCGCCCCGCCTTCTCCAACTGCAGCCATCGAACGACTTAGTTTAAAGTCTGATAATTCTAGTTCATTAGGTTCCTTAGAGTCTATGCTGAATGCCTCATCTAAAGACGATGACGAATTAAGAGTATTTATGCTAGATGAACGTATCTTATCTCCAGGTGAGAAGCATCTTTGTTTCCAGAATGTTTCTATGCCCACAGCAATTTAAATTAAATCACCAGAATGGGGCCAAAATGCATGTTTTGCGTCACCAGGTACGGATGCGGAAACTGATTTCTTTGTTCTGGACGGAGCCGAATACTGGACAGTGTGCCGAAGTATCCAGCCAGAATACCGAATCTGAATAGTGTTTTTTTTTAATATTTGGATCTTTTCTTTCTCGCTCCCCTCACGTGTAGAGGAGCGTAGAGATGGACCGTCATCGAGAAAAAAGAAGTTGAAATGTCCTAATTTTTAGGCGTTTCAAGGTACCTGTAGTCAAGAAAACAATCTCGCCAAAATGTGCGGCCGTCCGTCCGACGTCCCTTAGATCTGTCTACCATATCTCGAAATCTATTTGTTCCATTTCATTCAAACTTTGCATGGAGAACCATATCTATAGTCTCCTTATGCTTGTCAAGTGATTTTGGAGTACGCAAAAATATATGAGGGGTTAGGGGCAAAACATGATTTTTATCAAATTCACACAGAATGCTCCCTTTAAATGAGTGTAGATTTTCGAAAAATGCTTTGAATTCTTGGAAAGTTTCCATAAAGCACCACCTTGGCCACGAATTATACTTCCTAAAAGATCTTTGGACTAAGCTCAAAATTCAAGGGATACGAGGCACAAAAATAGGGCTTTTTGCTCCGCAACATTACACCAACAGCTCATCTTGAAGGACTGTAAATTTTGTAAAGGAGGAGTATCGTGTTGGGCCTTTTCCGGTCCCACCTGGATTTTGCTGAATGTTTCATATTTTCAAAGTACTAGTCCTAGGTAGACTCTATGCCAACTATTTTATCGAACGGAGCCCATGCAAAGGTGCAACAACGCCTCAAACCCAGAACCTCGGCATCGAAAAATAGTTATTTTCGTCGACTTTTTCGACTGTTATCACTCTTTCAGCACATGATTCCATGTATTTTTTTGCGTACTTTCTGTTTCTGGCCTTTATATAGGCCTCCGATAAATTTTTAGGGGCTTTAAGGCCCATTGTTGCCATTTTTGGCCCATTTATAGGGTTTTTTTCAATTTTACACACCCAGAAATCAATTCAAACTAAGAACCGTGTACGTTTTTGATAAGAACGCAAAAAAATGAATAAAAAATGTTCAGTGAAACTTTTTCTTACGTTGCCAAATTTTCGAGAAAAATCGTCCCAAAGAGCCAAAAATGGCAAAAATTCAATAAATTGCCACGCTTAAGGTTCAAGAAAGTGGAGTACAACTTTTATATTGACGTACGTAACAGCTCTTACCTATATATACAACATATCAAAAAATTATAGTTGTACCTGGATTCCCACGATGTGAAAATTGACTGGGATGTCGATTTTAGCGGCCTTTCTTTACTTGAAGGTAGCTCTTTTGAATGTTTCTCGACCTTAGTCACCCTCTACAGGTGAGTACTATATGTATTTTTCTACGTACTTTTCATATCTGGCCATAAAAATGGCTTCCTGTGAATTTTAAAAGGCCTAACGGTCCATTGTTGCCAATTTTCACCATTTTTAGGGGTTTTTTCAAGTTTACATGTGTGAAACTTAATTTAATCTAAAAACCGTGTACATTTTCGGAAAGAACGTAAAAAAATACATAAAATGTGATTTGCAACTTTTTCCTACATTGCCAAGTTTTCGAGAAAAATCGTCCTGAAGCGCCAAAAATTCCAAAAATTGGATTAATCATCACGTCGAAGGTTCCAGGAAGTGAATATTTAGTTTTATTTCACTACAAATAACGTATCGGAAATGGAAAATTGCAGTGCGTCTCTCAGAACATGTAATGGCTCATAGGAACGTGACAAAACGGACCCTCAAGGTGCTTTTATCTTATCCTTCACTCCAGTTCACCTCTTTATTCCTTTAACCTCGAGATAATCCTTGGTTCTCAAAATGCTTGCTACAGGCCAAATATACCAAACAACAGAAACTGCGTGGGGAAAGTGTCCCACGATCCGCATGAAAGTCATCATTCACTTTCTAGAACCTTGGACGTGATGATCAATCCAGTTTTTGGCATTTTCGGCGCTTCAGGACGATTTTTCTCGAAAACTTGGCAACGTAGGAAAAAGTTGCAAATCACATTTTATGTATTTTTTTACGTTCTTTCCGAAAATGTACACGGTTTTTAGATTAAATTAAGTTTCACACATGTAAACTTGAAAAAACCCCTAAAAATGGTGAAAATTGGCAACAATGGACCGTTAGGCCTTTTAAAATTCACAGGAAGCCATTTTTATGGCCAGATATGAAAAGTACGTAGAAAAATACATATAGTACTCACCTGTAGAGGGTGACTAAGGTCGAGAAACATTCAAAAGAGCTACCTTCAAGTAAAGAAAGGCCGCTAAAATCGACATCCCAGTCAATTTTCACATCGTGGGAATCCAGGTACAACTATAATTTTTTGATATGTTGTATATATAGGTAAGCGCTGTTACGTACGTCAATATAAAAGTTGTACTCCACTTTCTTGAACCTTAAGCGTGGCAATTTATTGAATTTTTGCCATTTTTGGCTCTTTGGGACGATTTTTCTCGAAAATTTGGCAACGTAAGAAAAAGTTTCACTGAACATTTTTTATTCATTTTTTTGCGTTCTTATCAAAAACGTACACGGTTCTTAGTTTGAATTGATTTCTGGGTGTGTAAAATTGAAAAAACCCCTATAAATGGGCCAAAAATGGCAACAATGGGCCTTAAAGCCCCTAAAAATTTATCGGAGGCCTATATAAAGGCCAGAAACGGAAAGTACGCAAAAAAATACATGGAATCATGTGCTGAAAGAGTGATAACAGTCGAAAAAGTCGACGAAAATAACTATTTTTCGATGCCGAGGTTCTGGGTTTGAGGCGTTGTTGCACCTTTGCATGGGCTCCGTTCGATAAAATATTTGGCATAAAGTCTACCTAGGACTAGTACTTTGAAAATATGAAACATTCAGCAAAATCCAGGTGGGGCCGGAAAAGGCCCAAAACGATACTCCTCCTTTTGAAAAATGCCTTTAATTCTTTGAAAGTGGGCATCAAGCACACCACCTGAGTCACTAATTTATGTTCCTTAAAGATCTTTGGACTAAACTGCAAATTCAAGGGATACAAGGCACAAAAGTTGGGCACTTTGCTCCGTGAGACCACGCAGAGCTCACTTTGACGGACTGTAGATACTGTAGAAAGCCTTTAATCATGCAAAAGCTGGCATCAAGCACTACCTGGGTCATGTATCTAAGTTCCTGTAAAATCTTTGGACTAGACTCTAAATTGGAGAGGGGCCAATAACAAATCGCAATTTCGGGCTGAACACTCGAGGAAAGGGAAAACTCCTCGGTATTAGCAGCAAGTGCTTTCAGTCAGGTGAAACCTAGGATTTCAAATGCATTATATAATGCATCTTATACTATCTCCAAAATTACTCCGTAGGTATACACCAAGCAAAATTATATGACTAATTAGGTATTTACATACTATGAATCATTGAAGCTAACACTAGAGCTGACATTTAGATCTTTATCGGAAACTAATATGTTTGTTGTTAATGAACTTCAGAATCCCGGCAGATTCCATATTTCGCGGTTCCTTTTTATGAGGTCCTGAACATATATATATAATAATACTGTCCGAACATGATTGATTTAATGATTAATGATCAGACGAAAACGAATTATATTAACATGGACCACATTGGTTGTTGTTGTCTATTTGTAATCAAACACCCGGTGATTCGAGCTAAGAAGGTGGCGCTCTCGGCGGGCGGAGGGTGAACCATTTCCAGCGGGGAGAGTGGAAGAGCTCTCTAGCGAACAACCTTGTATATTGTTAATTTCTACTGCTGTTTCAGTAACTCTCTATTGCCAAGTGGCTAGGGCATTCAACCGCCAACATTATAACTTGGGATGGATGCTCGGCCTCACCCATTTTTTAAGACCATCTAAACCTTGAATAGTGATCCTACTCATTGAAGTAGGTTTTTGGTAGCTTTTAATTGTGCTGAGGGAAAGATTTTAATGTATGATCATATATGAAGTATGATGTCAATGAATCTAATAGATCCTGATGAAACGTAGAAAAGCTAAGATTTTAAAGGATCGTGTTCTTAACTAAGACGCATCATGAATCAATTATTTAATTGAAGATTCTCATAATATAGACAAGTCGACTCTAAATGTATGAATTCATCACATATCGTGAAAAAATTTACGATAAAGTTTAGTGGTTTGAATAAATATTTCATAACTTTTATCATTCATTTGTGTGTCCGCCTCCTGTGGTTGTAGCGCTGGCCCTATAACCAAGAGGTCCCGGGTTTGATTCTCGGCCAGGTGACCTGAGTATGATGGTCTCAGGCAATGGTCACCAGGGGCTGGTGTTAAACGTGGGATTAGCCAATTAGGCTATTTGAAGCTCGGTAAAAAAATAAATAAATAAATAAATAAAAAATCGAGCTTTAAATGGAACCTCACGATTTTGTGAAGTTGGCAGTATTTTTCTAAATATTCCAGTAGAAGTGTCCATGCACCGGCTTCAGCGAGAAAGTCTTGTACGATCCTAGCACCACGATGGGGGGTACGCGGCGCAAGCGCCGCGCATAAGAGGCCAATTTGGCATCAAGCACCACCTAGGTCATTATTTTAAATTCCTTAAACATCTGTGGACTAAACTAAATATTGAAGGGGTCCAGACCATCTAAAGAAGGCCTTGAGATCACACAGTGGGCAGTTTGGGACTATGCATAACTTAATAACTAATGAACTGAATTCATTAAGAGGAAAGACAAAAATGTGAACCATTACATACAATGCCTTAACGCAATATACTACCCAGCTTGGACTAACAAGAGCACCTAACTCTCATTCCTCCTCAAAATCGATCGCCGTTTGGCCAAATAGTAGTTCATAAAAATCCATTTGACACGCCTTTCAGCGTTTTTGCCAATGCCTCCCCAGAAATGGGTCAAATT